GAGAGGGTAACCGATGGGAAGTAAAAGGCTTGCCGCTTCTGATAAGTAAGACAATTGAAGCTTCACCATCGACGCTACACAATGAGGCCATTGCGTTTACAATGTTCTTCTTGTGAATTGATCTTAAGGAAAGTGGAAATACCTACATGGGCGCGAAGTCACATCGTCAGAAAGCATTACCCTAAAAGAAAACATGGGAGATGGTCGATGTTTTGTGAAAAAAACATGCCGCGTCATAGGTTTTTCAATGTTGTTATTGCCCTGCTTCGATCAGGCCGTTTGATGGCAAGTAAGGACCAACACCATGATGACCGCTACATCTACTATTACACATTCCGTTCTAATGTTGGAGTATTCCCGAAAGGACATGGACGTTTTGGTGAAACAAAGACGATCAAAATCGTTACTTACTACTCGGAATGTCGAGAGTGTGGTCGTCATTGGCCCAGTAAAGTGGTAACAAGTTTTCCATGTAAAAAAAAAAGCAAACAGTTTGTCTGACCGGCAAAGACGGTTACAAACGTCGTGAGATTTAACGCTACAGACTTAGAGGTTGACGAGCTAACCAAACCAAGCGATTAACAGCCCTGAAGACAAAGGCGAGTCAAAAGAACTCTCTAGTTGCTGAAAATCCTACTGGCTGTTTCCTTGTGATGTACTGACCTCTCCACAGTGGTCTTCAGCTTCCAGTGACTTTGATTTAAAAGTGAACTTTCTTTCATCACTCAAATAACATAATTTTCATAACATAATCAAAAGCTAACGCAAAAAATGGCGTGCTGCCTCCAGGTTATGACATTCTTCTATAAACTTGATTAGATGTAATTATAATGGCCCTCTTTTCACAAGTTGGCTTCATTCAACTATGGTGGTATCCATGAGACCCTGCAAAGCTAGGATACTAACTACAAAAGAATGCAAAAATTGTAAAGGAATTTTAGTTAAGTACCAAACAGCCTGTTTGATGATCTTGCAACTAAGCCTTCACCATCATCACACAGTATATATAATTTTTATTGTCGCCAAAAGCCAAAGAATGGCTGGCAAATTTATGCTTTTCAGTGCTACAATGCCAAATAGCGAGTACTATTATCGGTTAGTTACAAATAGTTTAGAAAAAACTACTGTGTTTACGTGTACCTCTGACTGCCTTTCAGAAAATTTATGTTCTTTTTGAAGCCATCTAATCTGTTTTGAATTAGTCTTCTTCCCCTTTGTCGGGGTTGCAACCCTAAAAATTAAATTTTCACTGTTGTTCAGTAACGAGGGGAGAGAAAGGTAAACAAAATAATAGAATAACGGAATGTATAACAGATAAGCAACCTTTCTCCTTTCTATAAGGCGCTCTTAAGGTTTTCACAGTGTTCCAACGAACTTTTCCGACAATTGTATGTAGGTTTCTTGACAAATAGCTTTTCCTTTCATCCTAAGAGATCAGTGAGTAATGTCTCAATGTAAAAGTAACTCACTGGCGAAAAAATACCAAGAGATTGTTCTTTACTTAATTTCTCAAGTGTTCCTGTCTCCTGAATTACCTACAGAGGGATTTCAGTCGATGGCCTTTTTATTAATAGTGTTTTTCATGTCTAGAATTATATGGGGTTACTTTAACCTAAGGAAAGTCAGGAACCCGCTTCTTTTGCTCAGTACCTAGGGCTGCATTTTGCCAGGCTGCACCAACAGTTCTATGATACAGTTCAGTAGTACAGAAAGGCAGAGAAGAGCTTTTTTCTAAGAGAAAACAGAAGCACAGGTTAAGTATGTAAGTCTTCTATTTGTCTTCGATTCCTGGTTCAAGAAACAACGGTGTAGCCTCTTAACAAAGTGGTGCTAGATTCTGAGGGACAATAAAATATTAAATCGATCCCAGATTTGTACGAAATGAAATGTCGTGATTTATCTTACCCTGGTCTACTCCAGGAGTGCTACAAAGTTGATTTAAAGATATCTGATGAACAAATAAAGGTAATTGAACGGAACACTGTTGATCAGGCTAAAGGAGGTGCCTTTGTTAGACACAGAGCTGGAAGGATAGGTGCTTCAAAATGCCATGCATTGAACCACACAGATCCATCACAGCAATCGCAATCTTTGATCAAAACCACATGTTATCCAAATATTCTTCGTTTTAGTACAGCAGCCACTAAACATGGATGTAAACACGAAGCGCTAGCTATTGCAGTTTATGAAAAAACCATGAAAGAGACTCATGCGAACTCTGTTGTCACCAAATGTGGGACAATCATTAATAAGAAATATCCATTTTTGCATGCAACCCCAGACTTTCTTTGTGAGTATGACTGTTGTGGACAGGGCTGTGGAGAAGTAAAGTGCCCCTTCTGCATCGAGGGGCTTGACTTTGACAGTTATGTGAAAATAAAAGCCTCTTGTTTAGAGAAACATGGAGATGAATTTATGTTAAAAAGAGAGCATGACTATTACTTTCAAGCTCAACAGCAGATTCATACTGCTGGGAGAGCTTACTTGGATTTCATTGTGTTTGCCACAGATGGAGCATCGCATCGGTTTGTGAAGCAAAGACTACTTCCAGACATTGAACACTGGGAGACACAAATCCCCAAGCTAGAGACATTTTGGAGAAGTTGTGATTTGCCAGAAATATTAGCTCGCTGGTACACTAGAAAGATGGACTTGAAATCTCAGATAAGTCCAAGGGAAAGTCGGCTATCAGGTGATTGCTACTGCAGACAAAGCGCAAATGAAGGAACAATTACCTGTGCTAATCTTGAACGCAGAGTGTCCACATTTCACCCGTCTTGCTTGTGTATTAATAAACTGAAAGTACCAAAAGTCTGGTACTGCCCACATTGTAGAAGGTTACCTCAGTTTACAAGAGCAAATCCAAGAAATTGCCAGATATGAAAAATCAGTACTTGACTGAGGCAGCAAAGCTGGAAAAGATCTGCATATGCTAAAAGAAAGCTAAACCTAATGAAAAGTCATTGAAATGTCACAATGAATTATGCTCAAGAGGGAAGTTTTTTCATCTGACATGCATGTCATACAAACGGTATCCAAGCAATGCTAACACAACCTGGGTTTGTAGTAACTGCAAGATTGCCACACCTGAAAGTAGGCCATCAACACCTGTCAGCATGGATTCAGAGATCCTTAACAGCAGGCCATCAACACCAGCCAGCAAGGATTCAGAATCCCTTAACAGCAGGCCATCAACACCAGCCACCCTGGATTCAGAGACCCTGAAAAGTAGGCCATCAACACCTGTCAGCATGGATTCAGAAATCCTTAACAGCAAGCCATCAACACCAGACACCCTGGATTCAGAAACCCTGAAAAGTAAGCCATCAACACCAGCCAGCATGGATTCAGAAACCCTTAATAATGGGCCATCAACTTCCACCTCCATTGGCTCACAAACCTTAACAACTGACCCAGAGGTTTCATTTATTGGAACAACTATTAACTTCAATGTTGATAAGACAGGTTCACTCGGAAGTTTGACTGACAGGGATTTTGCAATTATTGCGAATCCTCATGGATGGTTAGACGGAGCAATAATACATCAAGCACAGCTTTGTTTAAAAAAACAGCTGAATCCCACCATTGAGGGATTTCAAAGGCCAACCCTTGGTCTTTGCAGAAATTTTGATGTTGTTGGTGAAGAGTTAGTTCAGTTATTACACACTGGAGGAGACCATTGGGTTTGCCTCAGCTCAATAGGATGTACTAAGGGCCATGTTAGCTTATATGATAGCCTTTTCCACGATGTTATTTGCGATGACATTGAAGAGCAAGCACGAGACCTTCTTGGTAATGAGTTCAGGAAACTTTCAGTTGTCTGTGTTCAGCAACAACTGAACAGATCTGACCGTGTTGTGTTTTCAATAGCTTATGCTACAAGCCTTGTGTTCATGGATGACCCCAAAATGAAACAGTATGACTTTCCAAAAATGCGTGGGCACCTGATTTAATGTTTAAAGTCTGGTGAAATGGAGCAATTTCCTACCATTCCCCTTCCTTAGAGACTAAACTTAGGATTGTTTAAGTAATACCAATTACAGTCAATCCCTCAGCCTCACTGTCATAATAATTTTAAATTACCAAAAAACTCACAGGGATTTGTTACAAAAATATCAATCTTTAATGGATTTTCACTTGCATGTGGCATTCTATACTTGATCACTAGGCATTATTATTGTTAATTAAAACTAGACTGCAAATACTTTCTCTTTGCTTCGAATAAGTTGGCAAATTTATTTTCTCTTTGAATTGAAGTTGATTACTTATGAGGATTGTTGAATACCGCTGACCATCAGCTTCTGAGAAATCGAAAACGAATTGATTACATGTAAACAAAAGCACGACACAAGTGTCTGCTTAAAAGGTGTGCACCTACAGGAGTCAATTCTCCACTCGAGAAACTGAAAGAACACGATGTAAGCAGTATAGTCATGCATGTCTTACCTAAGTTAACTTTTACCAAATACAATGTGATGGAGTTTACCTTGGAAACAAAGAATCATTACTTCAATTACTCATGCAAAGTTAGAAATTCAAACACTGAAACTAGAGGTCAGTTTCGTAATAGAGTGTGTAAATAATGTCATCATTTGTTTTCTTGAAGAGTCAATGTCATCTAGAATGCACCCGGTGCTTGTGTTACAATAAACCCAATGGCATGCAAAGCTTCGTGGGTAACATTGGTTCACTTTAAGTATTGATACTGCACGATTTGACCCTTTAAAGCAGTTTTGCTATGTGATCATTTTATTCACTCTCATAACCTTTTCTCTTGTTTCAGTAATTGCACTGCAAGGAGAAATTTGACTTTGATCACAGAGGGGACTTCAATAGCTTAGATTAAATCATCTTGTGTTTTTGCTTTTAGACTAATTAGGTACTTTTCACTGAACTTTGTGATAAATTCATTTAAAAATAAAAGAAATAGAGAAACCTTTTGTAAAAAAAAATATCTATGTGTGTAGCTCAAGTCTATTACATGTGGGTTTCCTGCACTATGATTTTACTACTGAGAAAGCACATGTCAGCAAGCACTGTCTTAACCACCTGATGTCATGGTTTTATGTCCCAACATTGTTAACCAACAGTCCACAAACTTGCTAGATGGCAAGTGAACAATTCAACATCTAACTGTTGGTACACAAATGTTTTACCAAAAAACTGTCCGTCCCAATGACAGTTGCTTAACGCTTTAAATTTTCATGAAAATGAATGTTGGCAAACAATAATGAAAAAAGTAAAAAATATTATCTTGAATCTATTGCAAGGGGTGCTCCCCCAATTTTCAGTGTTATGCCTGCAGTGAGGGAAGGGTACGGTCATATGAAACAGACTGAGACTGAGGCACTGGAAATTCCGAATCAAACCCCTGAAGGAGACGAAACTGAGTTGCTTAAGCTTTTTTGACCCCCAAAATGGCAAGACCAAGCATTTAAAATTAACAATCCTTGGTGCGACAAGCTATCCTGTCTGTTTCATATGGGGGCTTCCCCACCCCATGCAATTGTGCAAAACAGTATAACAGCATTTGTATCAACAATAGTCTATGAATCACAGTCCAGGACAATGGTATTGTTAAAATTACCATTTTTAACAAGTGCAAAGAAACTTTATTAATATCTGTGACTATTCTCTCTTTGTGCAAAATTGTTTTAACTTTGAAATTGTTAAATATCTGAAACAAGGTACCAATACAATGTATCTCTATATGTGTGGTTCCACAAAATAACCATACCCAACCAAACGATGATAACTGAAAATTCCGAGGGCAGAGGGGGATCCCAAAAGCCAAAATTCTTAAGGAAAGTATGAAGCGTAACTGGAAATTACAGAGTGGGTGGGACGGTTCAAACCAAAAACCCATCCTTGGGGAAGGTACGGAAACTTTCTGGTACCAGACATTAAAAATTACAAAATTAGTGCCAACGGGAAGAAAACCTTCACAAGAGTATTGTACCCTTTAATCAAAAGGTACGATAGGCTGCCAAAGCTTCACCAGGGAAGAGCACACCGTCATGATCCTATCAATCGAAGGAATTTGGCTCTCCTGATTGCATGTGAGAAAGTCTGTAGGTAGTGTGCTTTGAAGAATTGTATACTTTTGTCTGAGGATGCCAATGACACGTTCCACGTGAATGCGGACATTGGCAATTTTACGAGTTTTCTCAACATCTAGAGGATCGAGCTGAATTTTATCTTTTGTGAATGCATGGATGTTAAGTTCAACTTGGCGAAAACATACTTCTTCGTGGACAGTAAATCCTCGGTCTGCAAGGACAAGATCCCCAGGGGTTAAGTTGTTCAAAAATCCACAGTTCTCTGTCAAAAATGTGTCAGATGAACGGCCACCCCATGCCTCACTCACAAATGAAATGGGACCTTGAGGGGTTATGCCAATCAAGACTTTGATTGTGTTATGATGCTTGTAATTTGAAAATTTTTGGGCCCTTACCAATAGATTCGATGGTCTGTCAATGAATACTTCAAAACAGTCAATGATAACACTTGTTTTAAGACCGAATAAATCGTTAAAACACCTTGGCATTGTCCTTTGTAGTTGTTCTCGATCTGGCCAGGAAATTAATGGTGATAATGTCACATCCATTACAGTCAACCAGCTGACAATAATTCTTGAAACCACTGTCCTAGATACATTAAAGCGATATGCAAGGTCTTGATGTGGTACACCGAGACGTAATTTTACGAGAACAAAACAAGCTCCTGAAATTTATTCAGCAGAAGTGAACGTCTGGTTACACGTGGTGACACGAAGGAGAAAGTTTTCTTTAATATCTCCAACGAGGGCAAACCGGTATAAAAACGCACTTTCTCTTGATCTCCTTCAAAGTAATCTTCTTCAAAAACATTGGATTTTTGTGGCAGCCACGGTTTTTGTGTTCAAAACATGTAGTCACACTCCTCTGTCTGAGTGCTGCACGATCGACTGTAATCCTCTGGATCGGTCTGCGTTGAGGCATTGTTTTCAACGATCTCTTCCTCATCCGCTTTCCAGTTTCTCCAGCAGTTTCTCCTCCATCCACCATATAAATATCTTTCATTCGCTCTCCAGGCTCATCCACCTTTATAGCTTTCCTTTTCATAGCTTCCTGCTCCTCACGTTCTCTTTCGCGTTTTCTCCTCTCGGTAATCCTTTGAGCTCTTTGCTGTTGTTTTTCTTTCGTCTCGTCAGATTCCTTTAGCTTGTCGTGCCCAAGATGCAAACTAGGGACCCAGTCTAGGTTGAATCGATCCCATAAGTATGTTGCTTTTCCCGAATGAAAGTGAATCCCGCAAACACGGTCGTTCTCTGGAATCGTCTCCGTCAAGTCAGCTCCACTAATGGCAGCTAACCACCGACTTCGCCTTTCGGTGGACAAGATCTCGGTTTCTTCTCTTTGACTTGTGACAATTTTTGGCACCCGACAGAAGCAAAGGTCTGGATTCTTCTTTTTGTTGTTGGAACAGCCAACGACGAGGCAAAACGAAGGCATCACTCATGAATTTACGCTTTCCGATTACAACAGCCTACCAAATGCGTTATATTTTCACTCCGCCAACATGGCGACCACAAAATTTCTCTGACGTCATAGTCATGTGATCGCACACACACTATTCCACAAAAACGCATTGCAAAGTCAAAATTCGCGTTCGCGCCTTACGTGAGAGCGCTAGTTCATTGTATTCCCCATCAATTCAAGCGAAGCGTACAATCAGGAATACGCAGATGTTGTTGCATGGTGAATTGCAGTATTTTGCATAAATGTTTGATACGTTTAGCATCTTATAAACTGCACAGCCGTGAAGACAACAATGATCAATGGCTGTTGCATAGAAAAATAGGCTCCATGGAAGGGAATTTGAGAAAAAATTGGGTAAACCATTTTTTCGTCCAGTGGGAAAAGACGAAAGTTTACGAGTGGATGACATCTCCAGTGTTGACTAAATTAGTGCCACTTGCAGTTCACAGTACTGTCAGTTATGTTCTAAGTTCTTTGTATAATAAATTGCCTTTGGCATAGCCTGGTAACACCCAACCCTTGATTATTCTGGATATCAACAAAAACGTAATCCAAAGATTGTCTATGATTTCACCGCGTGAGGGAACACCCTTTTAAGTGTAAGTGGGCTGCTACGTAAGTACTAAGTACTGCTAAGAACTAAGTTTAAGTACTTTACCTATATAGGCGGCGCCATGTGAAATGTCCAGTGTGCTGCAACCCTGCTTCACCAGCAGTAATCAATGACCCTTCCCTCTTTCTTCCCTGTAGTGCTAAGAAATATCCATACCCACTCAAAAAGGCGCTCTAGTTTCTGATTGGGCTCAAATTTCTTTTGTGGTAGGGGTACTTGTAGGGATATTATTTTCTGGAACTACACTTCCTGAAAGAAACCTCCAAAAGGAACTAACATTAACTAACTACAAAGTTAAATGAAATACCCACCTCCATGCATGGTGGCTTTGTGATTTATTGATTTATTGATAGCTTAAATAATGTTATTGTTTGTTCCTCTTTCCCTTTAGATTTCTTCCAGTGGTGGTGCATTTTGAAGGACATATTTATATTGCAAACAAACCGCCATTAATCACATGACTGGGGAGTATCAACAGCCCAAGATACAGCTATACTAGCCATTGTCTATTTTAAGAATGATCAATAAAACTATTTCTTGCCGTTATTTTCGATATTGTAATGGTAACAGTTTATATCAATCAGTTGTCTGTACCTGTCGGTATGTTTCAAGGCATGAATAATTTGCAATTTAAATTTCTTAAATGGTTGCAATCATTCACCCAATGGATGTTTGTGATTGCCATTGTTCGACTGGACAATTTTCTCGTTGCAACAAATATGAGATATTTAATTATTAAAATAATTTTTTATGACTGGGCCTAGATGAACAGGAACAGGCTGTTTATCAAACAGTTTTCTAACAGCTTTACTTTTACGGATCAATACTAACACTCTTTGTCCGGTGATGCTACAATATGGGTATCACGCAAATGCTTGATCATTGGTGCACCTTTAATGACAATCTTTATGGCTTAATATGTTACCAAGCAACAGTAAAAACATTAAGTTGACATTTTAACGTGGCACTGAACCCCCTCCTTAGAATTTATTAAAACTTTGCAAAAAGTTGCATTTTACCATGCTTATCACAATTCGACAATAAAAAGTGATGACCATCGCGCTCGTTTATCTGGCACTAAGAGCTAAAATTAAAGGTGTTTTCAGCAGGTTGTACTATTGCTATGGTAACTTTTTATATAAAAAAGGACTAATAATTGGACATTTGTGTGATACCATTATTGTAGGATCATGTGACAAGGGGGTAGGTATTGATCCACGGAGGTATAAATTATGGAGAAAGCAAGAAACTTCTGTTAGCCAGCTGAGAATACATAGAGGATATTACACGGTGGCGAGGAGATATGAATTTTATGTTCTCGTGGCAAGAACAATATCTCACNGTGTAATGTTCTTTTTATTATATGGAGAAACCAATTCAACAAAAGCAAAAGGCGGGAATCGTGCCGTCATTGAACGATACGACACTCACAAAGGTGACTTACGGAAAATACGCCACTCGGGTCCCGGATGAAGTGGCATATGGAATCTACGAGTGGTTTAGTTCCCAGTAAAACACTCTTCTCCATATAACAAAAGAAAATACATAATCCGCTTATTTGTTCTAAATTGCAAGACAAATATCATACAGCCGCTTTCAAGTGACTGTCGTAACTGGTTTTGCATAGCTACGCTGAGCGTTTGACCTAAAAAACTCGCGCCACTTTGTCATCCAATCAGAAGTAAAACCAAAACCATTCGGGAGTCACTTGCACTTTTTTTCCCGCGCTTCACGTCAGCTGCATTATTTGCCCCGAGTTTGATTCTGTTTACTGTGTGATTGACCAACGTGATCACCTTTGGTGTGATTTTATGAGCATGCAATTGAATAGTCAGGTTGTGATGTCGATCGAAACAAGAACGCACGTCGACATATTTTTCGAAACATGGAAATAGAAACGAAAAACTGAGTTAAATATACTAGGAATAAAGCATTAAGCGTAGTTTCAATGTTGGTTTAAAATTGTAAATATTTACGAGATTTTGTAGACCTACGTTCTTGTTTGACGTCACAGCCTGACTAGTTCCAGGTCCTAAACACCGTGGTTTCTGATCCAACCGGAAGGGAAAATTCACGTTTTCAGATGGCTGAAACGCGGTGAATACGAAGCGATGTCCATTCTCCATTCTCAGACAGATCGCTTAGCAGTTTAAACAGTTACATGAACATTTTGGCCGCGAACATATTATTCTCTAGAGTTTTTACATTTCGACTTATTCAGTATTTATTTCGGCAAGTCAATAAAA